ATCAACACAGCACACTTGTACTGTACTAACTTCGCACCACGACGTACACACCAGACATGCCCAGGTCGGCGACCATGGATGACTCAACAGCTTCTTTGCAGCATTAAACTCAAGCATCAGCTCTACCGTCAGTATCTCAGAACTCGCAGCGCCGAGAACTGGCTCACATTCGTTACTCAACGCAATAGGACCACAACACTACTGAGAGAAGCTAAATCCGCCTTCGTATCCACTACCGCGCAAGGCGACGTAACTGGTGTCTCACAGCGAAACCTGTACAAGTTAATGAAATCACTGCGGTCGTCCCCGAAAAAGGAGCTTCCACCTATTTCAGCGAACGAAACAGTGGCTAGATCAGATGGAGAAAAGGCGGAAGCGTTTAACAATTTTTTCATTTCGGAAAGCCAGAAGTCCGTCTCCGGACCAACTGAAGCCGTGCCAGAGATTGGCGTGTCGCGCATCGTCGGAAGCGAACTGAAGGAAATCATCACCACTCAGGAGGAGGTCAGAAAACTCCTTTCCGCTCTTGATTTCCGGAAGTCGGCTGGGTACGATGGCATCCCGACGAAATTGCTCAAGATCACTGCAGACGAAATATCGTGCTCCCTCGCAACACTTTTCAACGAGTCTTTCTCGCGAGGCGAGCAGCCACAGGACTGGCGCGACGCCACTATCAGTCCTCTACACAAGAAAGCCTCTCGTGCAGAGGTCACCAATTATAGACCAATCTCGCTCCTAAGCGTTGTCAGCAAGGTTCAGGAGAGGATTGTTCACCAACGCCTCTACACCCACATTGAGCCCCACCTACCGGCCGACCAATCTGGATTTCGATCTAAGGATAGTACTGAACTACAGCTCTCCCGCCTAGTGCATGAGATTTCCGCCAGCCGAGATTCCGGTCAGGCAGTGTCAGCATGCTTCTTTGACTTATCAAAGGCTTTTGACCGAGTCTGGCATGCTGGCCTCCTGGCCAAACTCGAGCACCTCCGTGGCATTGCCCTTACCTGGCTCACAAGCTACCTGACTCGCCGCCGACAACGCGTCAAGGTTGGCTCCGCTTTGTCATCATGGAAATCCATTCCAGCTGGAGTACCCCAGGGCTCTGTCCTGGGGCCTCTTCTTTTCCTGGTGTACACGATCGACCTCCCCCCAGCATGTACAAACTCTCACACTAAATGCAGCCAGTTCGGCGATGACACGGCACTCATCGCGACGCATTACACGAGGGATTTGTCAGCTGCATTCCTCCAACGTGCCGTGGACGCAGCAGGACGATGGTTGAAGGATTGGCATCTCCTCGTCAACACCACGAAAACCGTCGTCCTTTCCTTCCAACCCCAACACACCATCCACATCACGCTCCACTTGACTCGGCTGCAGCAGGTCCACCAACATAGGCACCTTGGTGTTACACTCCAAGACGATATGCGATGGGCCCAACACATCATAGAAACCACCAACAAAGCCAAAACACTACTACACCAACTCCACAAGACACGTGGCACAATGAACGCTTCCAGCCTATTGTTAATATACACAACCTACATCCGACCCGTTCTCGAATATGGCAGCCTTGCCCTCTCGAACACCACACAGCAACAGCGGGACACACTGGAGAGAATTCAACGCCGTGCTATACGCATCTGCCTTCGGATTCCCCTCTTTGCACCAGTTCACCACAGCTCCCTCCTCCATCACGCAAAGCTCCCCACCCTTAGCTCACGACTCCTTGTTAAACAAGCCCTACTAGCATGGGACATCCACCACCAAACCTCCCCACCACACCTGCAACAACCACATCTTGCACCACAACGTCAACACCAACCATACACCCTTCGACAGACAAGTCCATCGGACACGCACACACGAACAGGCACCGAGACTCCCCCATCAACAGTGCCCTCACCCTCTACAACTCACTCCCTATCGACATCACAACCCAACCTCGTAGAAATTCTTTCCGAAACAATGCATCCAGTCTTCTTTTGAGCAGTACCTGCTCCTGCTCCGCGCATCCCCCTGGTTTCTGATATCTCGAACGTGTACTTAACTATCTCGATCACCCCTGCTAACATTATTGCCCCGCTTGTTTTTCATGATCCATTGCTTCTTGCCTCCCGGTTAATTTCCATCTAGCTGTTTCTGGCTAGTACCAGTTCTATCGCACTTATTAATCATCCTTATTGGCGTCACGCCATCGTGGAATAAAAGAATATATATATTTTTCCCTTTTCATTCCCGCAAACTGTACTAGAGTTGTGCTTGTGTATACCTCGGTATACTAATCGATGAGCATCTAACGTTCCGCCCACAAGTGCAGAACTCCCACTGAGACAATGTACGCTTACACCAAGATCTACACACTAGAGCAACGCTTAAATTTCAAGCGATGCGTCTTTGTCTTTCGCTGTCTGCATGGTTTATCTAGCCCACTTCTCAGCCTCCTATTCACTCCCCGCTGCACTGGCCCACATTCTGCTGCCACAACCCGGGGCCAAGCTACAGCTGCTCTTGTCTTGCCTGCCTGCCACTCCCGGTATGGTTTCCATTCCATTGCGTATCTTGGTGCCGACAGATGGAATGCGCTGCCTCCATCTTGTCGCCTGGCCGAGTCGCCTGCTTTGTTTCGCGCTCACACAAAGTCTCATTTAGGGTTCCCAGTAAAAAGGCAACATTGCCTGTTGGGAAATCCCTAACAAAATAAGAAAAAAAATAATAATAATAATAAGTAGAAAAGGTGTGTTCAGTGGTCTTCGCTAAACTAGCCTGTTTTGCTCATGGCCGTCGCAATTTATCAGCTACAGCTCGGAGAACTTTCTTCTTGTCAATTATACAGTCTACTCTAGAATATGCAAGTAATGCGTATGTGCACTGTTTGAAAACTACCCTATATAACAGGCTTGTAACGGTCAGCCATATTGCGATGAAGAAGGCATTTGGTTTAGATAGAATGACCCCAACTGCATTAGTTTTACAACGGTGTCATCTGTATTCGTTTGAGCAACGAGTTAATTTGAAACTATACGTTTTGGTCTATCGCTGCTTGTCATCAATTACTAGCCCCCTCCTTCAGTCACTGTTTCTCCTGCGTTCAGTTGGCCCGCACACAAATGCTCGTACTCGTGGCCAGGATACAGCTGCCTTAGTATTACCTACTGTACATATTGGGTATGGACTGCGCTCAGTTTCTTTTCTGGCGGCAGGTCGGTGGAACACTCTTCCTCCAAACTGTCGTCAGGCACAATCTGCTGGTACTTTTGCTCACCTCACAAAGATTCACCTAGGGTTCCCTGTAACAAGGCCATGCCTGTTGGGACTCCCCTAGTCAAATAATAAATACTACTACTACTACTACTACTACTACTACTACTACTACTACTACTACTACTACTACTACTACTACTACTACTACTACTACTACTACTACTACTAGTACTACTACTACTACTACTACTACTGCTTATCACTGAAATCCAAACCCAGGGCCAGGGCATGAGTCAAGTACGCCCAGAGCGTGTGCACTCTAGAGGCTGGACCTGCAAACACTGGGCCCATGAGATGTGGACAAAGTATAAATAAATAAAACTATAATTATAAATCACAATTATTAGGGTCCAGCGGATTCTGCCGGCAGAAAAATTGGCAGAATTCGGTACTTTCTCTGGTAAGTTTCTTGCATGTTTGGTATGTGGATAAAAAAGTTGAGCAGAATTCGAGGAATTGCCCGCCATAAGGTTTGTATGGTTCTGCCAATTTCACTGCTTTTCGAGCAGAATCTGCCACCTTTTCGAGCAGAATCCGCCGGTCCCTAATCACAATGCACTTTAGTTTAGGGCGCAAACTAACTGTACATGTACTTGACTCACACCCAGGAAGATTTCATTGACTCAATGAGCAGCACAGTGTTGAAAGGAAGAGATGGGAAATAGTGGGGTACCGGGTTTAGGTTGGAGATAGCCTTTGGCTATGTCTTTGTCTTCCCACGGTAGCGCTAAGTACACTTATCGTTATGGCCGGGAATGCTTTACTTCAGTGCAGGCTCAATGTTTTGTAGCTGAATTGCGTACTTTCGGAGCGCTCCGGATCTGGTCACAGTGCACTGTTCAGATAATTACAACTCTGTCCCATTGTTTCCTGCATGATTGCACAACACAGTGTACATGTAGTTGCTTTGCAGGACTGACTGCGAAAGGGTTTCGGAACTTTCCAGCGCACACGAAGCCGAGTCACCGTACTCCGTAGAGCGCATATCATGACAACACGCAAAATCATGCAGGCTTGCATTTCGTGGCCTTGTGTTTCAGGACAGCACCCCGCGCTCAACATACTATCAAGAGTACATGGGGGTTATGTACTCAGTCTCTTGATAGTATGTTGTACTGTTCATTGTACAGTAGCTGCAACACTGATGCAGACTGCAGTGATGGTCTGCGGCCTTTGCCGCCGATTCCCTGCATTACCAGTACAAGTACATGATGTGATTGTCCAGTCAATGTAGCCCTGCGGTCCGTGGCCTGGCCACGTCAGTCAACCACTGACCACAAACTGACGAGTGCAAAGCAGCCTTCAACAAAATACACAGGATTGAAGTTTTAAAAAAAATTCAACAACAACAACAACAACAAGGCGCTAGGCTACGTATGCCGTATCTGTGCAATCCATACCGTATCCTGCACATACGGTGCACATATACGGCATATCCATAGCGTACAGTAGTATCTGGCAAATAATCATGTACCGTGCACAGCTAGCTACGGCATGTCTGTTATACCGTATCCGGCACATACGGTGCACAGATACGGTACCAAACGGAGTGCTGGGCGAGACAGTCAAAATTAATCAATGGTCACAGCCACAGGTGACAGGGCTTATCCGTGCAGTTTGACAGGTCAGCTGATGCCCGGCTGTCCAGATGTACGAGTAGCTCATCTTTTTTCATTAGATGCACAAGCACCTAAAGTTACTAGCTAGACTAAAATCCAGTACCACCATCGATCGTGGATAAAAAGGATTGCATAACTTGGAAAGACTTATTTGAACCAGAGCGAGGTCAGATTTCTTGGTTGTGTTCCATGTAATTATTGTGTCTTGTCGCTAGCTGTGGCGGCACGAGTACGTCGACGGTAGATTGTTTGTTGTCATTCTCTGAACGTATGCTCATAGCATTGGTGACGAGGCACGATGCTTGATGTCGCTCAGTTGCTGCTGTATTGCGGCGTGCCGCTCCTGTTTGCTGTGTGGTATCTGCAGCGGCAGCGGCAGGGTGCATCCCAGACCGGAACGGGAAAACTTCCCAAGCTGCTCGAACTGGGCTACAGCAATTGGACGGGGCACATCGGCTACGTCGTTGGGCAGAACAATGCCGGCCCAGGCGAACATATTTTCAACCTGCACGAGCTGATGCAGAAGGCTCCGGAGCCGGTTGTAGCCCTATCCCTCTTCGGTCCCAGATGGCTAATGACTCCCATCTATGCTGTCATGGATCCAGTCCTCATCAATGTAGTGACATCAAGCAGCAAAACGACCCGCTTCGCATCCTTCGAGTACAGCTCGCAGAGCGTCATGGGCAAGAAGTCCATGAGCGCTCTGCGCGGCGACGAGCTAAAGCGACATCGCAAGCTGCTCGCTTCCAGCATTCTCAGCAGAAAGGCGCTGGGAAGGTTGGTGGAACTGATGGGTAACGTCACAGACGCATTCCTGCAAAATCTCCCGCAGCCCAAGGCTGGCGAATCGTCGTTCGCACTTGATCTAGCTGACGGCGATCCTATAGGACTCATGCTCCTGGATGTATTCTCCTTGTTTGGATTTGGAACACAATCAACGACAACACCAGAGGGTCTGGCTCAACGAGAGAAGGTGAAGATTGCAATGAACTTCATCTTCGACATGTTTGCGGATCGAATGTCTGCTGCTGGACTGGCCAAGTACCTCTCATACCTCAACTTCAGCAAGAGCCGGCAATTGGCAAACCACCACAAGTTCATTCGTCAGGAGATCATCATCCCGGCTATCCGCCGCCGTCAATCGGACATCAATGAGGGCGTGGAAGTGCCCAATGATGCCCTGACAGTCATGTTGGAGGCTGGTGATGACGACTCGCCAGCTTTCACCGAAGAGGAGATCTGCGACGAAGCTATACTCATTATGGTTGCATCGTATGAAACAACGGCAAACACAATCCTGTGGCTGTTCTATCACCTTGGTAAGAACATGTGGGGTTACTGGGTTGCATAATTGTGTAGGGCATTGACCTAAATAATCACTATACAGTATACCGATTCGATTGTTGTTTTTGCACTCTTCGTCGTCTTCGTCGTCATTGTCATTTTTACTCGCGAAACCCAATGAAGTTTTGTTGTCTCGGGGCCATCCGTAAATGTAGGTATCTATTTAGAAAGGAAGACTAATCGTTCAGGGGGAAGGGTTGAGCTAGGCGCCGGCGGATTCTGCTCGAAAAGGTGGCAGATTCTGCTCGAAAAGCAGTGAAATTGGCAGAACCATACAAACCTTATGGCGGGCAATTCCTCGAATTCTGCTCCATTTCCTTATCCACATACCAAACATGCATGAAACTAGGCCTAGACCAAAATTAATATGCTAAAAAAAGAGCATATTATGCTCGTCGCATATCAGGGAAAACGTCCATAATATGCCAAAGGCTTAGCAAGATATGCAAAAAGATACGCCAAAATATGCTCGACATAAGCAGAAAGTGTAGATCATTTCAGTAAAATTACAACCTTGGATTATTCATTGGCTTCACGGCTATCATGCTTATGGTGCAAATCAAAACACATGCGGAAAAGTATGGCTGGGGCGTGTCCCTATGCATATGCTTGACCCTTGCCTACTATAGTACATGTCAGTGAAATTCCAAATTCATCCATAAAAGGCATTTCTGAACGCATTTTGTCCATAATAATTATGAATGTTTTGTCCTCATTTTCTTCAGAATATTTGAATTATATGCTGGCTTCATTCCAATATTCCCTTTGTCGCTCAATATGCCATATATGAACTGTCTCACAAAATATGCCGAAATATGCGCTAGCATATTTGGTCGAGGCCTACATGAAACGTACCAGAAAAAGTACCGAATTCTGCCAATTTTTCTGCCAGCATTATCCGCCGGTGCCTAGGTCGAGCACGTGTTCGTTTCTCTAAAAATATCGATGCATAGTTTGCATGTGTGAACACTTCCAGAAAAAAAGAAAAATACATAGATACTATAATACGAGCCGTCAGATGCGAAAACCGACCTTATGGGAAACACTGCACAGTGCAGAAAAATGCACTTGAAAGTTGGCGAGTTTCCGCACTGGTGCGCCTGGACAACCAAGCTACAAACCTTCGTATTTCAGTCAAATATCGCCATTTGTACATGTTCGTTTCTCAGGGAGGATGGAGGGGAATCGAAGAGGATTAGGTAGAATCAGCTGCTTATGTCTTACTTTGCACATTTTGTGGGCTAGGCTGACTTCACCTCTGACTTGGAAGAGAGAACACGGCAAGTTACTAGCTTTTCTATTTTTATAGCAAAATAAAAAGAAGACCTTTTGTCTATCTCTTCGTCTCTCACTCCCTCACTCTTCTCCCACCCACCCCCCCCCTTATTTCCTTCTTTTGCTGTCCTTCCCAGCCATGCATCCGGAGTGTCAGCAGCGTTGCTACGAGGAAGTGTGCCAGGTGATGTCATCGCACCCACCCGGAACCCAGCCAAGCATCACCGATATCGACCAAATGACCTACCTGAACGCCACTCTGCAGGAGTCCAACAGGCTCACGCCAATTGCACACGGCATCACTCGCGAGACCGTGGAAGACCTGGTGCTTGGCGGTGAGCGTTATCAATATTGCATATTAATTTTTTTAAGAGAGGACCAAAGGTTAACAAGTTATCAGTTGTGTGTGCCCAACACTAACCGATATGAGCAAGATACCCTTACTTGCCAACCATACCGGCTTTCCCGGTATACTACCGGGATACTAGGTTAACTACATCGGAATACTGTACCGGGGATTTTTGACATTGATCGAAAAACTACCTGAATTGGCACTGAACCATGAGTGTTCAAAAAAAGGTAAATTTGTGGTGTGACAAGGGCGCATGCGGCCACCGAATCATTCACAGAATTACACATGTAGGGGCGATCTGATGTTAAACTCCGGTTTCTGCCGCAAAATAGGCAAAAATGGTCAAGAAAAGCGCCAAACGAGAAAATAGCCGGAATTTGCGAAACCCAGCAAATAAAGGGGAGTGAGTGAAAATTTAGGGAAACTTGGTGTGTGACTAAGGGATTTGCTGCATCACGTCTAGAATGCGCAAACCAACAGCCTCCAACTTGGAAGGTTCTAAGTTATGAAATAACGTAAGGAAGGGGAAGGTATACTTACATGTAGTATTGAGTTCTTTTTTTACGGTCTCTGCTGGGATGCCGACTACACCATAGCTCAGTGGTTAGAGCATCGCTGGCTACAAGCGAGGGTCCCCGGTTCGAGTCCTGGTGGTGACAGTCAACTTTTTCTTCAGAGTTTTCCCGTTTGCGACTTCCCCTTAAGCCAATGAGAATCCTTTTTATATTTTTTCCCTTTTCTTTTAAATTGAATCCTATATATTTGATTTCGGGACTCCCAACAGGCGGAAATGCCTACTGCCAGGGAACCCTAGATGTGTTTTAAGGTGGCGGCGAAATTCAGCGGGTGACCTACCTTGGCGACAGCCCGTCGGCAAAATAACGAATTGCAAGAAAAAAAGAAAAAATTTCACGGTTCGCAAGAAAGCCATAACAATAATATGCATGCGCAAATCTAGCAGTTTTCCATCATGGGTGTTGCAATTATGGTTGTCGAAGTCTGTTGTACCGGCATTGTCATCTGAAAGGACGCTACGGTTGAGTAAGTTCATACGTACGCCAGTCACCTAGTCACCGTGCCCGCAGGCTACAACTTGCAGCCTGTTTGGTTGCGTTCCTGTCACTCAAGTTGAACCTTTGAACCTTTGAGTTGAACCTTGGTGTGAAAGTTTTTGCCTGCAGGCACGGTGACCAGGCAACTGGTGTGCGCATGAGCATGTGACCGCTTACTCAACCGTGTTCGATTGGGAAACGGCCGAACGCTGCATCGCAGCCTTTTCGGACCGAAACCAGTCGACTCAGCATCCAAAAGACTACAACATATGGGCCAATCGCGGTCGTCTGTGCTTTTATAAGAACGTGATGGCGCTTTCAGTGACATTTTGCATACAAATCCTCATACAAATCCCCATCTACCAGGGCGCAGTCACCCAGTTTCGGTGGAAGTGGCGAGTTCGATGGGGAATAAAGGAGGAAGGGAGCATCTCAGCTTCCTCGGACCAAGACCATTCGACTCAGCACCCCGGGGACAACAACTGGTGAAAATTTGATTTTAGGGTATACTTCCCCTTTATTTCGTAGGCTTCACAAGTGAACTCTGTTGCTGGAAAAGTTTTACAGTATCGGGTTTTTCCAAATTACACTCATAATCAGTCAAAATAATGAATTTAAAAAACGAGATATGCAAAACTCCGAAAAAATCATAGAAAATTGGCCCCGGCCACGGCCGTAAGCACTTGCTATTATTCCCGTAGCTATGCGGAAGACGTTACGGGTCCACACAGCTATAATTTGGTGTTTGTTCGTTTGTGCCATCCGTCTGGCGCTATCCCGTACCTGTCCCGTACCACCAAGAGTACCGTACCATTAAGAGAATGAGTCTATATGGGAAGTGTATCGGGGGAATGCATGCAGGCCGATAGTGCAGTGCATCGAGCATTCAAGAGTTGCATAGTGTAGACACGCTACTGGTCAAGCGAGCTAAGACAGAGATCCTTGTCGTCAAATCTGTCAAACCAGGTCTCAGTCAAACTGGCTGTTTGCGAGTGTCTAGATAGCGCGCCTGTTCGCTGACATGCTGCAGTTCCATTGTCTCGAGGTGGCCCACCTACCGAGGGGTGCCGAACTGAATCTGGGTCCCTTCGTGGACATGTGGCAGTTCGGTGTGATGTCTTTGAAAGTGCTGATCAGGAAGTTCAAGCTGCCCTGGAGAGTCTCCAACATGAGCAATCAAGACTGCCACTATTTTATGGCAAACCTGCCGGATAAGAGCACACCGGAAGACCTCGTCCCCAACCCATATCCTCTGCAGTTCCAGAAACCCATTTTCCACAACCTGCCGCAATTCGCGAACTCCTGTAATGGTAGCCTAGTGGAGGCGCGGTGCAATCAACACGAGTTAGCTTTCATTCTTCTTCTCTCAGGTACACACCTGGGATATATTATAAGTAAAAGAAGAAGCGGCAAATAAATAGAACTTTCTCTCCGGTGCACACCTGGAGGTTGAATACTTCTTCTTCTCGGCTTTGTCGTTGCTATAAAATGTAAAGAAAACAGAAATGCGCAGCAGCTTTTATGCAACAGATGCCGTACGCTTACATATGGAGAAACACTAAATATACATCAGGTAAAGTTCCGCATTAGTTCCGTAATACTTCTATATTAGCCAGGCAGGGATACTACACTTCCTCTTTACGAACCTTCTGTGCCTGGACGCCAATGACAGGTTCAGTGCAGAACGCGTTATGCTGGGATGAAATGGACACATTTTGTATGGATATTTGTTTTCGCTGGGATACGATACGTACGTTCAAATTGAGTGAGATCCTGGTAACACGAAGGAGGACCAGGCCACACCTGTTGAGAATGTTCAGGATGCTGTACAAGCCGTACACTGGCGGTCTGTTCTTACCAATACTTGATTGCACTAAACAGAGAGTAGAACGCTCGGGATGCAGAGACTTTTCGTAGTACTTGAAATGAAAGAAAAACTTGACAAGAGCACGTACAGCTTCTTTGCGTCCTGCTCGGCAAACCGGCAGGAATTCACGCCTCGGATTACCTTCGAAATCCGGCAGAAGCATTGTTACCGCTTCAACATCACTCTCGAATAACGGGGCACCCCAGCAAAGTCTGCTCTCATTTGGTTCTTTTCGGTCTAGAGTCAAAACAGTCGTTGGATCTGCGAGATGAGTGGAACGAAGCATACTAGTAATATGATAGTTACATACTTCACAGAATCTTCGCAGCTCTGGGAATGTGAGGCCTCCCTCGCGAGCAGGTAAATCCATGACGAACGAAGACCTCAGTTAACCCAAATGTATCAGCACTTTCAATGTCTACACATCTATTTGGTAAGGGCCTGGTCAGACTGCGGCAAATTTTCGGTGCCTGACGAAAAAAGTAAAGCGTCAAGAATTTGAATCGCGGTCACACTACACATGTGGGGGGAATGAAAATTCAAACTTGATTTCGAGCGTCAAGTGGTAATCTCCACGAACGACGTCAAATTCCTTCACCTTGGGGATCGTCAACACCTTCAGTGCAATCCTTGCAACCATCCTTATGAGTTTTGTTATTGTCCGTGGCCAACTAGCTCTTCGAGATCGAGATGAAAAAAATCAGTGAATAATTACACTGAATATCAGCGTCAATGGCGTATCAGCGTCAAACTCCTGTTTGGCGCGGAAAAGCGTGGTCCGTTCTTGCTTTTTGTTTGGAGCGTCAACTCTCGCTTTTGCCGCTCTGGCGTCACGTTACTATGGAGATTTGGATTACAATCAGAGGATTATTTCGACTTCGCCGCAGCCTGACCAGGCCCTAAAGAGGAAACTGTGAACAAAACAGAACTACTTCAAGAAGTAGATATTTTCTTGAACATGTAGGTGTGAGTTTTACACCGAGGGGCAGTCATCAGACAACACTTCATGCACAACTTGCGAGCAGCCCCGTAAACCTCGTCTGTCTGTCTGTCAGTGTCTGTATGTCTGTCTGTCTGTCTGTCTGTCTGTCTGTCTGTCTGTCTGTCTGTCTGTCTGTCTGTCTGTCTGTCTGTCTTTCTTTCTGTCTGTCTGTCTGTCTGTCTGTATGTATGTATGTATGTATGTATGTATGTATGTATGTATGTCCACCTGTCCATCCATCCGTATGTCCGTCTGTCCATCCATCCGTTCATCTGCTTGTCTGTCTATCTATCTGTCTCCTCAACCCTGCAGACTACGTCATACCGAAGGGGAACACGGTCATGTGTTACTTTCAAGGATCGGCCGTCAGCGAGGAAGTCTTCACTGACGCCAAGAAATTCGTTCCCCAAAGGTGGCTCGATCATCCCAATGGCGGGGCCAAGAAACCCGGCGCTCATTCGCTGCCGTTCGGCAACGGGCCGTTCCGCTGCTTTGGCAAAGCGATGGCAGTGCAGGCCATACGCACGCTGTTCTCATCGTGGATCCAGCGCTACCGCTTTGAGATGATCACGGAGGACATAAAACCGCGCTTCCGCATAGCCTACTATCCGTCCCAGCTCACCATCCGTATGTTTCCACGGCAGCAAGAAGACCAGTGATGGAGAATTGCCATGAATGTGGTCACTTGAATCTTGCAAGAATACCTTGTGATATTTTTTTGGCATTGTTTACGTGCTATTTTATATCACTATTGATCCTTTATAGTAATCTGTGTTGCAATTTGTTAAATTAGTACAACAATGCTTCCTGATGAGCGTTGTGCGAAAGCTAGTTCGATGCATTTTTATATTTTTCATCGTTCCTATTACTGCTCTTATTATTGTTCTTCACATTACATTTCCGTCATAGTTATTTCTTTGTCCAATCACCACTTTCTCTAGAATTTGTTCGTGACATCTCAATTAAACCTTCGTAACATGACGCTTCAGCTGATTCTGTTTATTGCCATCCTAAAACTTCTTGCCTGTTCAAATACTTGTTCATTTTTTTGCTTTTATAGAAAATTTCCCCCTATTACATCTCGTCCTTATCTTGCTCTTGCCGAAGGAGCATTAGGTATTGATTTTAGGGATACCCCCTCACAGACAGATACATTCGGTGCTTCCCCCCCCCCCTCCCCCCTCCCCCCTCCCCCCCCCCCCCCCCCCTGGTGAACAGAGACAGTGATTTACTTTTTCCGATTCATTTATTTTCCATTGATTTCCACTCACAGTAATCCCTATTCCCGTGCCGACATTGATTTTCAGGCAGCGGTGTTGTCATTATCCCTTTACTGACTAATCTTTCCAATCCAGTTGAGCTGCATTGTTAAGTGTTACGCGGATAAATTTTCCGGATATGTTTACAAGTACTTTTCTAGCATCAAGTTATAATAATTATCATTTTTTAAAAAATTGGAATCGGATGTTGAGTCACCACTTACCAGAAGCAAGATCCAAGTGAATGCATAATAATTGATCTCGTTTGTAGCCATTACCTGGCCATTACGTCGTTCACTCCTCATACATGTATAAAAGCATGCACAAAGAAAATAAACCTTTCTCTCTGGCCTCAACTACGTTGTTGTCGGGTTGGCCATTGCAGCGATCAGCTATAGGGCTGACGTTAAACTTTAAAAAGAAAGTGTTTTCTTCGGAACCAGATGTGCGTCATGCTGCCTTCATGACACCATGCAGATTCAGTCGCCGCCAGTGGACAACATTATAGATAACATCCTCTACAGCTGGCAACTCAATTTCGAGGTTTCAGGCTGAATAGAGCTCGTGCACCCAGAATCTAGGCAACAACAACAACAACAACAACAACAACAACAACAACAACAACAACAACAACAACAACGTGAGAATAAAGATTTGAAACAACAACAATAACAACAACAACAACAACAACAACAACAACAACAACAACAACAACAACAACAACAACAACAACAACAACAACAACAACAACAACAACAACAACAACAACAACAACAACAACAACAACAACAACAACAACAACAACAACAACAACAACAACAACAACAACAACAACAACAACAACAACAACAACAACAACAACAACAACAACAACAACAACAACAACAACAACAACAACAACAACAACAACAACAACAACAACAACAACAACAACAACAGCAGCAGCAACAGCAGCAACAGCAACAGCAACAGCAACAGCAACAACAACAACAGCAACAACAACAACAACAACAACAACAACAACAGCAACAACAGCTTCGAGCTACCCACAGCACGCACAACCCGGCTAAGAGATTCCCTCACTTTATTCTTCCCTTGACCTCTTCAATAATATCCCACTCAGCCTCCGGCAATTCAACCCCAGACGAGATTTCAAAGTAACAATCCTAACCTCTAGTTGTCTCTTCAGTATGTACCTGCACACATTGCTCAGCATATCTATATTCCCATTGTTCCCAGTCTGCGTGATAAACTCTTTATAACCATCACTACTATTTCTGCTTGCAGATAAACTTTGATTTCTCTTTATCCGATCCCACGAGAACATCACGTACCAATGCACAGATAACTAACGCTTTCTCACGCACTCTTTACGGCGCTACGTATCACAGGCATGGTAATTGTTACGCTGGGCTTGCCACATTCATAGTATAATTATAGCAGTACTCTCAGGGCTGGGTCAGTACCAATTTTCGCTGTCGATCGATTCAGTTCGTGGAGCTCAGAGTTGCGAAACCGCAACTGCTCGTTCTTCTGTCTGTGTATGACCCTGTGTGTACATGTGTGAGTGTACTAGTCTGTCAATATGCTTGTGAGACAGACAAAATAATAATCAAAATCCAAATCCATGATACGTTTCTATTGAAAATTTGAAATGGAACACAATGTCAATACGACAGAATACAGTAGAGACTTAGTCAAGTAGTATACTATAGTATTTATTCGTATTTCTCTAGGGCAGTCCACACAGACCTACATGTATGGTCTCCTTACGGGGTACCCTAGCCAATCTAGGATTGCAATACGAAATTGACTTGGTGAAGCAGCAAGGCGGACCGATGCCGGAACTGAGTTCCAGCGGTCAGCGGCTAAATAAGAAAGAGAGGAATAACCAAACCGAGAGGAGACTCGTGGCAGTACAAGTCCAAGCGAGACTTCACGAAGTGCTATATGTGGGTCTTCACATCCATATAGTCCATACCTAAAGTTCCTGAGCTAGGAACAAGAAGTAAAAACTTTCTCCAAAACATCAAAAGTGCAGAACTGACTGAGTTCACGGGACTGCTTGATCATTGGCCTTCTTGTTGCCGTGGAAACATTCTGATGGTGAGCTCTGATGGGTAGTAGGCTAAGCGGATGCGTGGTTTCACGTCCTCCGTGATCATCTCAAAGCGGTAGCGCTGGATCCACTGTGAGAACAGTGTGTGTATCGCTTGCACTGCCATCGCTTTGCCGAAGCAGCGGAACGGCCCGTTGCCGAACGGCAGCGAATGAGTACCGGGTTTCTTGGCCCCGCCATTAGGATCGTTTAGCCACCTTTGGGGAATGAACTTCTTGGCGTCAGTGAAGACTTCCTCGCTGAGGGCCGATCCTTGAAAGTAACACATGACCGTGTTCCCCTTCGGTATGACGTAGTCTGCAGGGTTGAGGAGACAGATAGACAGATGGTCGGACAGACAGATGGGCAGACAGACAGACAGACAGACAGACAGACAGACAGACAGACAGATGGGCAGACAGACAGACAGACAGACAGACAGACAGACAGACAGACAGATGGGCAGACAGACAGACAGACAAACAGACAGACAACAGTAAGTAACGGAATCACACAACAGAAGCAAGACTTGATAATGACCAACATTTCAACCATATTTATTTATATTATTTTATTTTCTGTCTGCACTTCATGGCACATAATGCAAATAGCCAATACAAGGAGGTGTGAGTGAAACCAACCACGGACTGAGGGCACAAATGCAAATTAAAGAGAAAAATAGAAAAAGAAAAAAGAACGTATTGGTCGTCTTCAGAATGAACACTCAGACACACAGAATACCCCTGCCCGTCGCAGGCAGGGGTATCTACAGATTGTGCAGAAGAGATGCGGAGGTGCACACTGTTGTTTACCTAGTCTTGCTTTTTACTCTACATGTGATTTCCAGTCAAATGACCCTGGACAAGGAGACCACCTGGTAACAGAGACCACACTTTGAAGGTCCCTTGAGCGGTCGACTTGACAGGTTTTACTGTATTTGCAAGATCAATGAAGGGAAACTGATGTTCTTCGTGTGCTCTAGCACATACACTGTACACAACCATAAGATTTAGGTACGCGTAAGTGGATTTCGTAAGCTCACCGCCAACCGCGAGGTCTTCCACGGTCTCGCGGGTGATGGCCTGTGCAATGGGCCTGAGCCTGTTGGACTCCTGCAGAGTGGCGTTCAGGTAGGTCATCTGGTCGATATCGGTGATGCTTGGCTGGGTTCCGGGTGGGTGCGATGACATCACCTGACACACTTCCTCGTAGCAACGCTGCTGACACTCCGGATGCATGGCTGGGAAGGACAGCAAGAGAAGCAAATAAGGGGGATGGGAGAAGAATGAGGGAATGGGAGACGCGGAGATAGACAACAGATCACTTTGATTTGGAGTATGCATAATAAAGCTCTTGATATGCCATGTTCTCTCTTCCAAGTCAGAGCTCGACGTTAAACACCATCCACAGCACACGCAGAGTATCACAGAGGCAGTTGACCCCCCTCCCTCCCCCCACAGAGGCAGTTGACCCCCTCCCCCCCCCCCCCACAGAGGTAGTTGACTCCCCTCCCCTCCCCCCACAGAGGCAGTTGACCCCCCCCCCCCCCACAGAGGCAGTTGACCCCCCACAGAGGCAGTTGACCCCCCCCCCCACAGAGGCAGTTGACCCCCCCCCCCCACAGAGGCAGTTGACCCCCCCACAGAGGCAGTTGATTCCCCCCACAGAGGCAGTTGACCCCCCCACAGAGGCAGTTGACCCCCCCCCCCACAGTGGCAGTTGATCCCCCCCCACAGAGGCAGTTGACCCCCCCCCCCCACAGAGGCAGTTGACCCCCCCCCCCCACAGAGGCAGTTGACCCCCCCCCCCCCACAGAGGCAGTTGACCCCCCCCCCACAGAGGCAGTTGACCCCCCCCCCCACAGAGGCAGTTGATCCCCCTCTCCCCCCCCCCCCCCAGAGGCAGTTGACTCCCCTCCCCCCACAGAGGCAGTTGACCCCCCCCCCCACAGAGGCAGTTGACCCCCCCCACAGAGGCAGTTGACCCCCCCCCCCACAGAGGCAGTTGACCCCCACAGAGGCAGTTGACCCCCCCACAGAGGCAGTTGATCCCCCCCCCCCACAGAGGCAGTTGACCCCCCCCCCCCCCCCACAGAGGCAGTTGACCCCCCACAGAGGCAGTTGACTCCCCCCCCACAGAGGCAGTTGATTCCCCCCCCCCCCCGCCAACTACCATGTAGTGCCATTTTGAGTATCAGTTTGATGTATCACTTTTTTCAAACAATAAGAGGACGGAAAAGTGTTTTAACTCAGAGTTAAAACACTTTTTCCGTCCTCTTGTTTGAACTAGCTCTGCCTCTCGGTATTGAGCACTCTCTTGGACAGTCTGGAATCTTCCTGTTTTTATCTCTGCCAGGTGCAGATTCCTGGAATATGCTACCCCATATCTGCTCGTACATGTACATCAATCACTGAATTCCTTGGCCACTCTGTATGGCGACAATAGTCGCTTGGATTACCCAATTATAAATAACAACAGCGACGAAGTCGACGGCGACAATACAGAGGTTAAGATGCACGTTATTTCCGACGTGACGTGCAATTTCACGTCAAATTTGGCATAAAACTCCAAATTCCCACGCGAGCTGCAGGTCACTCGCTTTGTTTTTCGAAGCGCGAGCTAAATAACGTGAGCTGAACTAAGTTACTTTCACGTCACGTCAGAAATAACATGCATCTCAACCTCTCTAATAACAACAATCAAACCAGCAAAATGATCATTTTGAAGGTCAATGCCTTAACCAGTTTTGCAACCAAGTAACCCCGCATGTTCTTACCAAGGTGATAGAACAGCCACAGGATTGTGTTTGCCGTTGTTTCATACGATGCCACCATAATGAGTAGGGCTTCGTCACAGATCTCCTCTTCGGTGAAAGCTGGCGAGTCGTCATCACCAGCCTCCAACATGACTGTCAGTGCATCATTGGGCACTTCCACGCCCTCGTTGATGTCCGATTGACGGCGGCGGATAGCCGGGATGATGATCTCCTGACGAATGAACTTGTTGTGGTTTGCCAATTGCCGGCTCTTGCTGATGTTGAGGTATGAGATGTACTTGGCCAGGCCAGCAGCGGACATTCGATCCGCAAACACGTCGAAGATGAAGTTCATTGCAATCTTCACCTTCTCTCGTTGAGCCAGACCCTCTGGTGTTGTCGTTGATTGTGTTCCAAATCCAAACAAGGAGAATACATCCAGGAGCATGAGTCCTATAGGATCACCATCAACTAGATCAAGTGCGAACGACGATTCGCCAGCCTTGGGCTGCGGGAGAGTTTGCAGGAATGCGTCCGTGACGTTACCCATCAGTTCCACCAACCTTCCCAGCGCCTTTCTGCTGAGAATGCTGGAAGCGAGCAGCTTGCGATGTCGCTTCAGCTCCTCGCCGCGCAGAGCGCTCATGGACTTCTTGCCCATGACGCTCTGCGAGCTGGACTCGAAGGATGCGAAGCGGGTCGTTTTGCTGCTTGATGTCACTACATTGATGAGGACTGGATCATTGACAGCATAGACGGGATTCGCTACCCATAAGGGACCGAACAAGGATAGGGCTACAACGGGCTCTGGAGCTTTCTGGATCAACTCGAGCAGGTTGAACATATACAGGCCTGGGCCGGCATTGATCTTCCCAACCACGTAACCGATATGCCCCGTCCAATTGCTGTAGCCCAGTTCCAGCAGCTTGGGAAGTTTTCCCGTTCCGGTCTGGGACGCACTTTGCCGCTGCCGCTTCAGATACCACACAGCAAACAGGAGCGGCACGCCGCAATACAGCAGCACCTGAGCGACATCAAGCATCGTGCCTCGTCACCAACAGGGGCCTACGTTCAGAGAATGACAACAAACTACCGCAGAACCACCACAGCGACAAGAAACACGAAACCCAACCAAGCAATCGGACTTCGTTCTGGATCACGAACTACGCCTAAAATTGTACTTCAAAAATTCACCACGTTCGTTCATTCGTGTTGTTGAAGGCAGCGAGCGTTGCACTCGTACTCGTAGATCTACGATCGTAGAAGTCTACTCGTCGCTCTTGACTTGATTAGCCAGTCTTGTACTTGTAAGTTGTAGGCCGGGTTGTCTAGTAGTAGTAGTAGTGTATGGTCACTAATGTCTTGTGTTAGTTGTAGGTCTATTGATTATGTCCTGACACGAGTAGACCTGCTGACTGTCACACAGCCGCAAAGCGGGACCTCAGGGCACCATGGGCACTGCGTTGTCAGTGTTGCGCGCGGCCGACAGTGCTTGGTGCGTGCTGGAAAGTAAAGTTCAGAAAACCTTTTGCAGTGCGCCAGACGAACTACAGTGCTGGCAGCTGAAATCCGACCCCCCTAGCGTCTCGTACGGATCGCTAACGCGGCTAGCGTACCGCTAGGGCCCAGGAGGGGGTCGGATTTCAGTTGCCAGCGCTGTAGTACACGTAGGAAACAATGGGGCAGAGTTGTAATGTACTACTAATGATCTGAACAGTGCACTGTGACCAGACCTGGAAGGCTGGAGTACTCTGAAAGTGCGCAATTCAGCGTTGCTGGGGGATAGATAGCCCAGAGGCTGTCCAACTTAGTACCCCACTCTTTCCCGTCTCTTCCTTTCTACTTCAATACATTGTACGGGTGTGCGGGAACGAACTCCATTGTAGGCATTGGCGGACAAAAAAAGGTGGCAGATTCTGCTCGAAAAGCAGTGAAATTGGCAGAACCATACAAACCTTATGGCGGGCAATTCCTCGAATTCTGCTCCATTTCTTTATCCACATACCAAACATGCATGAAACTTACCAGAAAAAGTACCGAATTCTGTCAATTTTTCAGCCGGCATAATCCGCCGGTGCCTAGAACGAAAAGGAGAAATCACTTATAGAGAGCGACACTAGGCCTGGGAGCTGCAATGCAGTTTAGAGATGTTGCCTTGCCAGCCAGAACCAATGAAACATGACGATCAAGGCCCTCACAAGCGTGGCAATCGTCACAACTAAGTGATCAAGTGTGCAAAGAAATACCACACACAAGGGGAGAGAGAAAGAGGAAAATATAGGTATTCTATTTTCAAGGATTTTCCAGAGGAAAATCGGTGACTATCAAAGGGAGTCTCCTGGGGGAAAGGAAGTGAAGGTGGCTGTTATGAGTGAGGGAGGAAGGGACATGATAAGGTGAAAAATATATTATTCGACAGAGCCTGAAAGCTCAGAGCCCTACGCTATGCTTTTTTACCTAGCTCATCATGCACGTGATCACAGTCATGTTGGTCAAAAGTGAGACACAAGACACAAGACACAAGCCTGACAAGGGGTTATTGCACTGCACGAAGACGAACACCAACGGGATGGTAGTAAAATAGCTTAGAGATTATATGCACAAGTTCAACACTTTCTTTTGCTTACATAGTACTGGCTGTGTGGGGTAGAGGCAAACAAACATAGATTATAGGGACATTGCCTCACAGGTAAAGACAGACAGATAGACAAACAGACCGAAGGACGGACAGACCGATGCATACACACTTTTTGACCTTGGACTTGCCCAGTGCCGAAGGCAATGATAGCGAAAGGACTAATTCAGAAGTAATTCAGCCGAAACCGGCAGTAAGCTTGGGTTCACGGCAGGTCTTCCCGCATGCGCAGCGAAATTCTGGACTTACGCTCACACACACACACACACACACACACACACACACACACACACACACACACACACACACACACACACACACACACACACACACACACACACAAACATTGGGCCATATCAGTTGACAAGTAGCGATGTTTGAGAATCTCTCTTCCTCTCCCCTCATTCTTTCCCCTGTGCTAACAGTATTGCCTTTCTATCCTACATGCATGTTGTCCTCCCTCTGATTGCTGAGAAACGGAATTGATGATTATAATATTTAGAAAGGACCAATAAGTTACGAGTTTTGACGAACAGTACACCAAGGTAACGAGATGATTGTACAATCAGATAGTGCGACAACAAGGCACAACACTGACCGGGATATCGAGACATTCACCGTCGCCCTGACACTTACCTGGTTGAAGTCCTGCCTGGGAGCGGTTTTTCCAGCCGTGCTGCTACCCACAGTCAACTGGGAACTTGTGGCCAGGCACAAGGGGTACATGGATGCAGCTAATGGGGTCGTTCGCGGCACTTGTGTCAGTGGTTGTGAGACTTATCCACTCACCCCCACCGTTAGGCGCTGCATCTGCCGCTAGGGTTTATCGGGTGTTAGCGGCCGTCGTGAGTTTTTTAGGGTTTTACGTCGGGCCCTAGACGACTGCTACGTTGGCCAACCGGACAACAAAGAAGTTGAGACCAAAGAGAATGACTTTATTTCTTGTGCATGCGTTTGTAGAATGACGTAATACTCAGTGAGTCAGGTCGCTACAAGTTCCCTTCGGGAACGGACACGATATTAAAGTTACTTTATTTTTATTTTTTTACTTTACACTTACATTATACATGTACATGTACAGTACATGTAGCTCCAACACATGTGCATGTACGAAGCGCGAACCAACACCCTTCCAACTTGAAAGGCTCAGGTTAGGAAAGGTCCAACGAGGATTCGATAGCAAATGCTGCTGTCTGATGTTCACTGAAATGCGTGAAACTTTAAAAAGATACAGCTAACACAGCCATTCGCCTCTGTTGTGTGTGTATACTGCTCTGCACATCCGTGCATTGAGCACTCTACCGCGAGCTGCCTAGGCCGGCCTTGTTTGCAAAGCAGTTCCTATAATGTCGGTCGACATGCATGAATAACATGTGAAACGATGATTGCCAGGCACACAACGAAAAGGAAAGAGGACTTGTTCAGAACTGTTTTCTTGTTACATTCATCAGTGAATCTACGTAAACAATGGAATGGGGACATATCTTATATGGACAGATAAAAGTGAAAATAAAGAGGAAGAAGAGAGAAACAAAAAGATGATTATCCTGTCCCCCGCTAGATACATTGTATTCAGCGGGGGACAGTTTCAGCAGCTATTAACAGCATGCATGTGTGAATAATACCATCATCAGCACCATCACACAAGTCTTGTGATGGTGCCAGTGACACAGCCCACTCAGTGTGCGGCAGTGTGCGATTTCTCACCTGGACATCCTGTATCCAAGCCTTCCAAAAGCTCACAGACGTCCTCTGCACCTCGCATTCCCTGACCAATGACTATGTGGGCAGAAGATTCGACACGCCATTGCCATGGCTACTTGCCTTCAGGCTCCAGTCCTGTGAGGCGTCATAGGAGGTAATGATAGCCGGCCCCCCACCACCATGGCTGCTGCATGTTCCCATTGCTTGCACCACATGGCTTTTTGAAAAAAAATAAAATAAAAAGCCATTTTATTAGTCTACATTTTTGAACTTAGAAGTTGCGACTTCGGCGGTAATAGTCATGAAGTTGATTGTTCCAACTAGAAACACACGCTCCTTGTCGAACTAGACAATTGATTGACTCACGACTGCCATCCGGAGCACACGAGGAGCATGTCGCACCTTCCTCTCGGCAAACCTGCAAGAAAGCACCACTCCCTGCTCAATACTCAGTGTTTCGGGAAATTCACCCCTCATCAGTTGAGCTTGAGTAGTAGGCTGAGGAAGATCGTGCCTGAAAAGCACCACTTATATACTGCTCTCCAGGCCAAACCATCACCAGGGATACAAACTTACAGAGACGCTTTGTTTCCAGCGCGACAAACACCTCGTTGCTGGAGGTGACAGCGTTGTGAATAGATATATTGGCTCTCAACGTCTGTTGTTGTTGTTGATTTTTATTTTGCTGCGCAAGGCCAAACGGGCAATGGTGCCCAATTCTATGGAAGCGAATTTCAAAAGGGAGAGAGCTACGGGGAGAGAGAGAGAGAGAGAGAGAGAGAGAGAGGGGGGGGGGGGAGGGAGGGAGATGATAAGCAATTTTGCAGCGTCAACAGAGCGATTTTGCAGTGTCAATAGAGCGAATTTGAAGCGTCTGTTTAGCACAACTCCATGGGCGACTCTGACTCACGCTGCTACCTGGGGCTTCACGAGGTGTTTGTCGCGCTGGAAACAAAGCGTCTCTGTAAGTTTGCATCCCTGGTGATGGTTTGGCCTGGAGAGCACTGTATAAGTGGTGCTCTTCAGGCACAATCTTCCTCAGCCTACTCAAGCTCAACTGATGAGGGGTGAATTCCCCGAAACACTGTGTAATGAGCAGGGAGTGGTGCTTTCTTGCAGGTTTGCCGAGAGGAAGGTGCGACGTGCTCCTCGTGTGCTCCGGATGGCAGTCGTGAGTCATTCAAGTGTCTAGTAATAGGTTTTTCATTTGACCCGACGAGACCACACGACGCTTGCAGACCACAGCACGAACAGTTCACCAGACACACTCCACGAAAGCAATTAGTATTACTCCTGACAAGTTTCTTTTCGTTCCATAAAGATAACGCAAGTGTCAAGTTCAGCAAGAAGCGTGTGTTCCTAGTTGGAACAATCAACTTCAATACATTTTATATGATAATAGAAGGTGAACCTCTTTCAGTAGTCTAAGTATGGTGTTATGGCAAATCACTGCTGCTAGCCTTTGGGTGTCAGTACGTTCATGGTAATTCCAATGCATGCACGAATCAACGTGCCCTTCTTTGGTGTTAGTTTATTTAGAAAAGCGATCCTGTCAGCTTTTCTATTATTGTGTTCACATGGCAAGAAAAACGACACCGCTATGCTAGGTAAGTTTCTACGTAAGGTGCTCGGTATTTCACTTAGGCTACGTAAGTCTCTACGTAAGGTGCTCGGTATTAGGTCTACCAACGGGTGGTAGCCGCGTGCTGTGCACGTGCACGGCAGACATTGTGTTGCAGTCCGTGTTGGGATGTGCATGCGCGAGGAACTTCCTCCTTTGGAACTGCTTCTTGTATGAGCTGTTTCGGATATTTCGTCTCCTGGCCTGGCTTATTTCTTTTCGGCGCTGCTGAGACCTCCTT